AGGTGATTACCCAGCTCCTGCTGGCATCACCCAGTAGCAGAGTGGAATAAGCTGATGTGCTGCACACAGAAAGTACTTGAAGGTCCTCAGAGTGTGAAGCAGGTGTCCTGTGTGTGCTCTTTTCCCCCAGCCCCTTCCTTGCTCTTCCCAGAGGGGAGCAGCAGGAGAGTCTCAGGCTCTGCTGGGGCCCAGCACAGGACACAGGAGCTCTGCAGAGGAGGCTTGTCCATGTGCTGGGCACTTTGTGTTCCCACCTCACCCTCTGCTCAGCAGCCCTGTCTTGTGGAAACACTTTGAAAATCAATTTAAATGGGTAAATTGGGATGTTAAACAGAAAGGACAGTGTTATCTCTGGATTTCTGCATGGGAATATGATCAAGCAGGTGCCTCAGCCATTGCTGACCCCTGAGTGTGCATGACATGACTGGGGACAGTCCCTGATGGCCTGAAAGGCACAGAGAATTTTATTTTTCTCTTCTTCCTGAGCAGTATTGGAGTGTATTGCAAGCAGAGCAATGCCCAGAGGCCATAGAGTGAGGGCAGCTCCCAAGAGGTTCTTGCTTAGAGCAAGAAACTGCTGTGGGATGAGCAGGGCCACGAGGAGCAGAGAGCAGACACAGGCTGGAGGGGGTGCCACTCACAGCAGCCAGGCTGAGGTCTGGTAAATGGTTTAAATGATAAGCTCTGTTGAAGACAGTGTCAGGGAGGATCAGCATCATTGTCTTTTCAGCCCTGGGATACTGGTCTGCATTTTGTCATTTTGATGGGATAAGCACAGTAAAATGGGATGTCAGTGGTGCTGTAATTAGCAGGGAAGGTGTGGCTGTCCTTCCACAACTGCATGGTGCTGCTCTGACTCACCAGTGGATACAGACCTGCTGAATAGCCTCTAAATATCCTTGGCTTCATTGTGTTGTGAAGGTCAGGCCCTAGACTGTTCCTTGAAACTACTGGGGATGTTTCACTGGGGAAGGGACGAGTCAGCAAGATAATCATTGACTAAAGGCATGGGAAAGGGAGCACAGAGCTTCATGGAGCTCCAGCATTCTGGAGCTGAATGTTCCAGGAGCTCCAAGGTGTGTGGCTTAGGCTGCTCAGCTCCAGCTGAAGAGGAAGGATTACCACAAGCTTGTTTAAACTTAACCATAAGTGGTTTAACCTGAAGTGGAGAAACTTGGAGTGTTAACACTGGTCAAAATAATCTCCAGACCAAAAAATCTAGTGTCACTGTGTCAATACTGTTTCCATTCCTTGGAACTTCCAGAAAGAGCTCTTTTTAGCTGCTTTACGCTTGTTTTTTTTGTTGTTGTTTTTCCCAAAACAACTATAAAGCATTAACACTTTGTTTGGTAAAATCCCATTCTCTTGGGCACGAATAATCTCAGCAATAGTTTGGGTAAGGGGACTGTTAAAGGCTTCTCAGAAAAGCTTTGGTGGTTTTATTAATTTTTGAGTAAAACTTTTCAACTCCAGAAGCCATGACATGTCTGAACTGAGGCTGGTGGCAGCTTTGTTAATTCTGTGCTGTCTCAGGCCTTAGCAAAGAGAGGTGTGCCCTCTCCACTTGGTCCTTGCTTCACTCCAGACCCTGGGCATGCTGGAGGTGTGGCTGTGACTGACCAGGGCCAGGCTGAGACATGCAGACCAGCTCCCTGCAGGGAAATTCATGGCTTGGAGTGGCACTGATGCCAGCATTGGGCTGGGGTGGAATCCTCTGGTCTCCATGCCACAGGAGCCATCCATGCTCAGCTGCTCTTCACACCCGGGTTACACACAGTGCTGTCCAAGGCTCCGAGCTCCCATGAGTTATGCCAAGCCATTACTCACCTCCTTGGCTGCCTTGTATCCTCTGCCAAGGTGACACCTCTGATTTACTGAAGGATCTGACAGAATCAAACATTCTGTTCTGATGAGACCATTTCATCCACAGGTGTTCTAAATATTTTTTCCCGATGTCCAGGAGGAATGAGGAGGAGGACACCATGTTCTCAGAAGGCTAATTTATTACTTTATTATACTATATTATATTAATACTATATTAAAGAATACAGGAAGGATACTTACTGAATGCTAAAAAGATCCACAACCTGCTGACTGGCTTCCTCAGAGCATCATTTATTTTAGCAGCCTTAGCTGCACAAATCTGCATGTCTGAGACAGGAGAATTTTCTGGACTCTCCATCCATCAGAGTTTCTGCATGCCTGCCAAAAGGTGGGAGTTCAGCAGAGGGCTCAAGCACTGGCGTGCAGCTGTGCCAGCTTCTGGCTGCCCTGCCAGCTGGGCTGGGAGCCCAGGCTCTGGAGAGCAGATGTGTCTGCCTTGGCTTGGGGAGCACGAGGTGCTGCGTGGCAGGGAGGAGAGCAGAACAGTGAAAGCTGCAGAGTGAAAATAGCATACACTGCTCTGGAAGGAGGGAATCCTGTGGCTGTGCAGGGGAGGCTTGGACCTGGTCTGTGCTTAGAGTTCTCTGATGTGGGGCTTTGTGGGGAGCATGACCTGCACTCTGACTACACAGTTTAGTGTTGGCATAAATAAGATGTGTATCAGTTCAGTAGGGGTAGTTTTTTACTCTCTTGGTTGGAAACAGCTTTCTCAAATAAATAATACTGATGGGAACACACCTGAGTGGTTCTTTGTCTGGGTGGGAGAGAGGGGCTCTGCAGTAGATGCCACACTGATGGAGGGAGCTCTTTGGATTTTTAAGGCTTACATGAGACTCTGCCAAGGTCATATGGCTTGGTAAAGGAAATTTCTGACTCAACATCTGGAATTAAAACTCAATAAAAATAAAATTGAGGGGGCACACCAGCAATGGTAAGTTCCTATGAATGACATTAAGATTAATTGCACTTTTACAGAGTTCAACTTGCAGCTAAAGAAATGTATTTGAATGGTATTGAATCATAGCATTAATATTAAGAGGCTAAATTTGTATTAAATCAGTCAAAATAGAGACCAGCATTTAACTGTGAGTGTAAGGTAAAGAATTCACTGTGACTGTTCCAATGAGTAACTTGCCAAGTACCAATACTGCAATTGAATTGCTTTTTTACTCCTGGGCACAATGCAGAACCAGAAAGTTTTCTTATGATCCTTTTCCTGCTGGCAAATATTTTATTCTGTCCTGTAGCAAAGAGAGCAACATCCCCAAATCTTTTCTCCCATAAGCAGCAGTGCTTTGAATCCCTAGTGAGAGAAATTCCAGAGGACTAACTCAAGCTGTGTGCTGCAGCCTCCCAGGATTTGAGGTAGGACCCAGACTTCAGAGCTGTGCTGTTTAGTGCAGTTATTTTTAGTCTAGGAAAACTCTTTTTTGCTTTACATAAGCAATTTTTTAGGGATTTAGAATTGGTAAATTTAACATTCCTCCCCTGAAATATACAAACCCAGAGATTTCTGCTCTTACTGTTTTCTGTCGGAAAAAAATTACTATGTTGGTACCTTTTTATGTTCATTTTAATATTAAGAAAATTAATAACTGCAAGTCATTCAGGATGAAGCTGCACATTTAATTTTAAACTTATTTTTAAGCTTTCTTCCTTGAATTTAGGCGTTAGCAGAGATAAAGGTTTAGATCTTATGCTGATTTACTGGAAGTATGAACCTTTAGAAGCACCCTCCTCCTTTTCTATTTTCCTTTTCTCAGTCAAGTGTCTAAGTGGGAGTTTAGAGCAGAGGCAGCTGCTGCTCACACACTCTCAAGCAATGATCAAAGCACAGCTCCCTGACTTGCCCTCCTTGAGTCTCCTCAGTAAGCTGCAAACTTTAAGAACTTAAAGTGTAAATTCTGAAGAAAAAGGTGTGATTTATTCTTTTTTCTCCATGGTGGGGGAAGAAACCTGTGCTGGAGGATGCCTGGCAGTGAGCTGAGCCCCACTCCCCCGCAGTTTGTCAGCACTGTTGCTGTAGGAAGTGAAGATAAAAGTGGAACACCTCTATTTTGAGCAGTTCCTACATCCTGGGAGCAAGCTGAGGAGCAGTGAATGCTTTCCTGGCTCAGCTGTGTTCTTGCTGTCATGTCCCAGTGTTGCCCAGAACAGGGCTGAAAACCTGTCAGTGCAGGTCGTGGTTCCTCAGGAGGGCAGGTATGAGCTGTGCCTGCAGGGCTTCAACTCCTCTGTGGCCTCACAAGTAACTTGGTGTAATTAGTTGACACCTTGAAATATGTTTTCATTATATTTACTCTGATATGTTCCAGGCAGGCAGTCCCAAAATCACTTTGCATTTATTGGAAAGACAACTTTAGTGCTGGGAGGACTTGGTGTGAGAGCTATTCAATACTGTTCCCACTTTTTGCAACTTCCAGAAAGAGCTCTTTTTAGCTGCTTTATGCTTGGTTGTTGTGGGTTTGTTTTTTTTTTTTTTTTTTTCCAAAAACAGCAACAAAAGCAATAACATTTTATATTTGGTAAAATATAAGATGTTACTGCTTTTATAACAATTAGATAGAACTCTGTGTGAGAAGCATCTGCTGATTTCATCAGATCTGAAACAGAAAATACAGGTGTCTGTCCCCCTGTATAGACACCTGTCCCAGCTTTGTGTCAGTGGAAGTGCTGTGTGGCAGCAGCTCTCTGACCACAGAGAGAAACACACAACTTTCCCAGGCATTGTGCTGGGAAAGGCTGTGAGAAGATCAGAGAAAAAAATGAGAAACAATTCTTATCTCCACTTGCTGCACCTGCTACTGTGACCACATGGAATGTGTTACAGAGATTTGTTTACCAAAGGGTGGTTTCTTAATTAACCAATAGTGATATTGTTTTAATTAAAGGACCAGTCAAGTCCAGCTGTATCATAACTGTCTATAAAAACAATGGGTTTCTTAATAAAAACAGAGATTGAGCAGCTTTCTGTGAATCGCGGAGTCTATAATAATTATTACCCAGCTGGGGGGCTGGTACTACACACTGCTGCCATCTCTAATCCTCTTGTCTAAACATCTTCTCTCTGAACATCCTCTCTAACCCTCCTCTCTCTGCCCTCTTCCCGCTGGCAGGTCGGTGGCACAAAGACAGGAGTGGTGCGCTACGTGGGAGAGACGGACTTTGCCAAAGGAGAGTGGTGTGGAGTGGAGCTGGACGAGCCCCTGGGCAAGAACGACGGCGCGGTTGCTGGCACAAGGTACTGGGTGCTCTGAACCCCTGCACACCTCCTGGGGGACAAATGCCATCAGCCCCAGGAGGAGAGTTGATGTTTTTTTCTGAGTGCTTACGAGCTTTTAGGGGAACCTGTCGTACTTGAGATGGCTCAGCTACTTGGAGCGGCGTAAAATCAGTAGGATGGCTTCTGGGATAGTGTTGAAACAGAAAAGTTTTAATAAAAGGTAGAATAACAAAGCTCTCTCAGAGAAAAACTGAGCCAGGGGCAAGAGGTTCTTGCTCTTGCTACAAACACTCTACAAAAGCGATTATTTCTTTTGTGCTCTTTTTTTTTCTGGTGAATTACTTAGGTGGGACTTTTTGGCTTCTGTCTAGTTAGGTAACCTTAGGTTTGAGGTGAAGTCTCAAAGGTCTTATGAGGCATCTTTTTACCAAATTGAGGAGAGAAACTTCTGGGCTTTTTTCTTTTATTAAGGACACAAAGGATAATTTGGTTACTCTGTCAACATTCCTACAGAGAGTTAGGGCTGTGCTTGGTTGACTGTTGTGGGCTGGGAGGAAGAGTCGAATTTTGAGTGTTGTAGGTTTTTGGATAGCCTTGCAGGGAGATCAATAAAAACCTCATCACTGCACCACTTTAAAGCAGGATCAGATAACTTCTGTGAAGGAGGAACCTGAATGGCTTCAGGAAACAGGAGAAAGTAGGGAGAGAAGATAACTTACAGAGGGATTTAATTTTTGCTAGAAACTGATTCTGTTGATTGTATTAGCTTTGCTTTCTACCACACATTCCTGTCATAAACTTTCTTCTTGTGCTATGTTACCCTACTTTCTTTTCTCCTCAGCTTAATGTTTTATTCTGTTCATTCTGTGAACAGTTACCCTGTCAGAATTACAAAAGACAAAGATTTTACTTTCTTTTCTCCTCAGCTTAATGTTTTATTCTGTTCATTCTGTGAACAAATTTCCAGAGAACTGAAAGAACAGCTGGTGGTTGTTTTCTGTCCTTGTACTAATTCTGTAGTGGATAGGTGTCTGCTGATGGATCTTATCTCCTCTGACTCCCTAGGCCCCTCCAGTCTTTTCTTTTCCAAAAAAGACCTTGTTGGTACCTATAAAATAGGCAAGGACATCTCACAGGCTTGCTGGGAAGCTCTTTCTATTCATGTGGAATTTAGTTAATGGAATGACCGAGGCCTTGGATCTTGAAATTGGTGGTGTTCAAATCTGAATTATACAGTAGCTCTTTCACCCTGCTTCAAATACAGGGGCAGCTGATGCCTTGTCCTACACAAGTTCCTTAAGTGGGAAATACTGTTGGTTTCTTGGAGCTTCTGAAGGCAGACTGGCTTTAGAGGTGAGATTTATCTTTCACAGAATTAACTAGGCTGGAAAAGACCTTTGATGTCATCAAGACCAACCTATGTCTTTGAAACTGAGGAGCTAAGGGTTCCTGCCTTGTTAGATCTCAGGTTCTGTAAAAAAGGTTTCTTATGTTGGCTGAGCCTTTTTTTGTCCAGCAGCCATGTGCTTTCATTTAAATGAAGATAAAAGCTGTCTTGTTCAATGTCAGGGCAAGAAAGCAGTAAATGATTGGCAGCAGATGGCTGAGTTTCAGCCTGTTCTCAAAATAAAAGAAGCAGGATGGCAGAGAATAAATCATGGAGTGAATGCAAGTCCCTGCTTTCTTTATCATACCATTCAAACTATCTGGAAGATTAATCTTCATGGTGCTCAGAAAGTGTTTCTTGTCTCTGTGCATGTGGAAGGTGTGAAAGGCAGATGTGAGTGTGGTGCTGTCTGCCTCTCATCCTCGTACCTCTGTTGCTGTGGTTTGAAAATCCAACTTTTGGAAGTCATCCGTCTTCTGAAACTGCTGCATCTTGGCTGGGGCTGTTCTGGTGTGTGCCCTGTCAGCAGAGGCTTCTCCTTTGGTTCACACTGTTCAGGGCAAGGCTGCAGCATTGCCCATGTCTGTCCTCTCGATCCTTCCTCCAGCCTTTGCTTTCCTTGCAGCAGTGCCCGTGTAGCAGCAGTGGTTTGGAGAAGCTGACCCAGTCCAGCCAGCTCCCCTGGGCATGCCGGCACCCCGAGTCAGCCCTGCCTGCTGTGTGCTCGTGTCCTGCCAGGCTCAGCCTGGGCAGGGCTCTCAGGACTCTGCAGGCTGTGCTTTGGTGGTGGTTGCCATCTAGTGAGCATTGGCCAGCAAGCCCAGTCCTGCCTGCTGCAGCAGGAGAGTGAGGCCAAAACTGGAGCTCAGCTGAGGCTGGTGGAAGCAGCAGAGGTAGCATGGAGCCTTTGGTGGCATTGTCCACTTGAGCTGGTGGTGAACTGGCTGAAATTTGGTGTGGCTTGTCAGATTATGTCTTTTTCTGGCCCAGAGATGGGGTAACCGAGAGGTGTTTTAAAAACTTTTATTCCATTTTCAGTCTCATGACAATACAGATGTTATAATGAATGCTATTATAATCAGAAGCCAACTATTTCTTAATTACAATATATTATAAGGGTTTCTTGGCTTATCAGCTTTAGCCACACCATGCTGTAAATGCCTTCAAGCAAATCATCTAAAATTACCCCTCACAGGTCTTACTATAATGCATCTTTTATAGTTTTATTTCTCTAAAGTATCCAGTCTTTTTTGCAAGGCCATCCTTTGAAACTTTTTTCTTGCTCCATTTCTGTCTCAGCAATGTCTGTCCCATTCCATGGCGTCTCTAAATCAGCATTTCTTATCTCAGGGTTTGCATACAGATGCACACTGTGTGAGCCTTCTGTCAGGCTTTGAGAATTCTCCATGAATTCACTTCCCATGGTGGGTCACTGATTTTCCTGCAGGTTCAGGTGTGGGTGTGCATCAAGGGCTGGGCTTTCCCAGCAGCTGTGGGTCAGGAGCAGTGGCCCAGGGTGTCCCTGTGGGCAGCTCCTCTGTGCACCAGGTGCTGCTGATCTGCACTGAGCTTTGCTGCATCTGCTTTCTTGCCTGCACAGGGGACTGCAGAGGTGCTGGTGTGGTTTGGTTTGGTGTCAGTTCCACAAAGCCAAGCAAGTTTCATGGACTCATCTCTAGTAATTTAAATGTGACCTGCTTATTTTACAGTTCTCCCTTCTCTCTCTGCTCCAGTCAGAGTCCTTGCTCACTAAACTGCCCAGACCTTTTACTTCTGCATTGTTTGGCAGCCTTGGACACTGAAGATTTTTCCAGCTATTTCAACATTTCCTGTGCTGTTTTCCACCTGCAGTTTGCATTGCCATCACTTTTCTGCCCTGTTTCCTCTCTGTAATGTGAGCACAGAGCTCCTCCACACTCAGAGAGAGCAGCTCTTGGTTTCCATGTAGATTTTTTTTTCTGCCAAGTGGTTTGGACCCAATTCCTGCTTCTGAATTATAAAAGTTAATTGCAACCACTTTCAATCTGGACTGAAAGAAAATGGGCAGACATAGTGATGCAAGATTGAACTTGCTAAGAGCTGTCAGAGGCTTTTAAGGGAATTAACATTTGGGATTGTTGAGCAGCCACGAGTACCAGGCTGTGCTTACAGCAGGCAGAGCTGTGGAAGGGGCTGTTGGCCTGCCTGTGCCTACTGGAATTTGGGAAGATGATGCTGAGCAGGGCTTTGGCAGGTTGTCAAGAGGTCAGCCTGTGGTGTGGCTGGTTTTTAAAACCCAAGGGCCTGTGTTGGCAGGAAGCTGAGGAGGCTGAGAGATCTGGGGTTGTAGAGGGGTTGTTTAAAGTTTGTTGTAGAAAAAACATGGATCTGAGCTGATGTTTAAAATTTAATTTTATTTTCATCTGGCTGGAGATCAGGCTGTTCCCTGGCCTCCCAAGCACACAGGGGTCTGCCTGTGACACAGCTGCCAGCACTTAAAAATAAAAGGGAGTTGGGGAAACAGCTGCTCACATCTGGAGAGTGAGAAAACTTGTTCTAATAAAACTGGATTTGTGTAACTTAGTCATTAGAACCTACTTTTTATATTAACATAGGGCAGATTGTTTTATGGCCCAGTATTTAGTCCTGTTCTTGCTGGGAGGCCTGTGAGAAAGCTCTTAGAGGAGCTTTTTGTGTTGGCTGCTCCCCTGAACTCGGGGACACAATACTGGAGGTGATCTGGTTTTTCTTGCTGCAGTGCAGCTGGCCAGCAGCAAGTGAACCTTGGCTTCTGCTGGTCAGCCAAGGCCCTGAAGGAGTTTCCAGGGTTTGACACTGACTTGTGGCTCATTTTTATTCTGGAAGAGGGCTCTGGAGAGACAGAATCATCGGGCTCAGTGCAGTTGTGGAAGAGACCACGCACTGTAATTATCTGGTCCTCCCTTTTCCATGCTTTCATCTTTCCAAGTTTGTTGGCATAGGAAACAGTTTCTCTGCCACCCAAAGGAGGTGGCACACGCTGGAGTTTGCTGTAATGGTATTTTTAGCTTCAAAGGTTTGAGCTACTGTTTTGGTAGGAAAGATTTTTACCCTGTGGAACATTTGTGCAGAACTGTGTGATTCAGATCTTTTTATTTGACAGAGTCACGGGGTGGGTCAGGTTGGAAGGGACCACAGTTGCTCATCTAGTCCAACCTTCCTGCTCAGGAAGGGTTATCCCAGGGCACATGGCATGGTGTTGTGTCCAGAAGGTTCTGGAATATCCCCACAGCTTCTCTGGGCAGCCTGTTCAGGGCTTGGTCACTGTACAGGGAAGAGGTTCTTCCTCATTTTTATCTGAAACTTCCTGCCCGTGGCCTCTTGTCTCATTGCTGAGCTCACAGAGTAGAGCCTTGTCCATCTTTGACATCTGCAGACACACTTTACTACATCCCCATCCTCAAAGCAGGGTGAAGAGCACACCCAGGTTTTGGGAAGGTTGGTGGTGAGGAAGGAGTGCTTGTGCTGTGGCTGTGTTTATGTTCTGGATATGTGCTCTCCAGGCTGCCAGCTGTGTCTTTCCTGGCATCTTACCAAAGTGCACAGCAGCTGGTGCTTGGCAATTACCTCAGGTCCCCCTGCTAAATTACCACAAATGCAAACAGGGAGATTGCCAGTACTGCAAGTAGGAAAGGAGAATAATCCAACTGCTTGTACACAGGAAAGTAGTTGTTTAGCCTGGAGGAAAGGAGACTCAGAGGTGATCTTACACTCTCCAGCTCCCTGAAAGGTGCCTGTGCTCAGGTGGGGCTGGGCTCTTTCTCCAGGCAGCACTGACAGAACCAGAGCACACAGTCTCAAGCTGCACCAAGGGAAATACAGGTTGGATATGTGGAAAAAGTTTTTTACAGAAAGAGTGATAAAGTTCTGGACTGGCTGCCCAGGGAGGTGGTGCAGTCAACATCCCTGGGTGTGTTTAACAAAGCCTGGATGTGGCACTGGGTGCCAGGGTTTAGTTGAGGTCTTGGGGCTGGGTTGGACTCGATGATCTTCAAGGTCTCTTCCAACCCAGTGATTCTGTGAAACACTGCCACAGCAAAGCACCCAGAGATGAGCTGTGGGTTTTGTGCTGCTTGGCAATGCCATTCTGCAAGGCTTGGGTGAGTTGGCTGCTCTGCCACTTCTCACCTGGTGCCTCTCCTGCATTCCAGGTATTTTCAGTGCCCACCCAAGTTTGGCCTCTTTGCTCCCATCCACAAGGTGATCCGCATCGGGTTCCCATCAACCAGCCCTGCCAAGGCAAAGAAGAGCAAGAGGATGGCCATGGGGGTGTCAGCCCTGACCCACAGCCCCAGCAGCTCCTCCATCAGCTCCGTCAGCTCCGTGGCCTCCTCGGTCGGGGGCAGGCCCAGCCGCAGTGGGCTGGTGAGTAGCTCCTGCCGGGTCTCCTCCTCAGTCACCTTTGTGACCCAACTGCACCAAGCAGGAGGGCTGGGGTTTTCTTCCAGTGCAGCTGCTCCTTCAGCATTCCCGAGGTGAGGGGGATGCAGTGTGGGACGGTGTTACCCACCTCACAGTCTCCCTCCAAGTAATGGACACCAAGCAGCTGTGCCCATTGAAGAGCCTGAAGGGCAGTTTGCAGTGGGATGAATCTCAGTTCTGCTGTCAAGAGCAGGTTTATAAAGATCCCTGCAGGAAAAGGACACTCTTTCCAGTCTCACGTGGTCATGCTGCTCCATGACCAGCTGTGCAGAGCTCCCGCTGTGGCTGTCTCACCGTGGAGGGTGACAATGTCCTGGGTCACATGCCTGGGGTTTTGGCAGGTGCTCAGGCAGGCAGAAAGCAGAGCAGGCAGGGATATTATTAAAAGTTCTGGCTCTGCTGTGGTGCTGCTGCAGAACACCCACAGCCCTCTTGGCTGGGGACAGAGGTGCAGTGTCATTCCTGGGAGTGGATCACATAACTCCATACTGGTCTCCACTTGAGATCAGTCTACCCAGCTGAGCTCACTCTGTGGGATTTCATCAGTGCAGGCCAGCCATAAAATGTATCTAAGAAGGCAGATGATAGAATGCACGATAATTTCCCTGACCCAGTTCCCACCCCATGTTGTGTCCTTTGGGAAATGTGTTCACTGCAGTGCTGAAGAGAGTTAGCTCGTGAGCATTGTCCAGATGTTTCTCAGACTTCACCTCCCCTGTAGGGCCCAGAGCTGGAGCTGCAGCTCTCTTCACAATAAATGATCATTAGGTGAGCAGCGTTCCAGATTTAACGGGGGACTTGAGCTGTTCTGGACTGGAAAGGACACAGCCTTACCCCATCTCTTGTGAACTCTTTCCCAGCTGACAGAGACCTCGTCCCGCTATGCCAGGAAGATCTCTGGCACCACAGCCCTGCAGGAGGCCCTGAAGGAGAAGCAGCAGCACATTGAGCAACTGCTGGCAGAGCGGGACCTGGAGCGGGCCGAGGTGGCCAAAGCCACCAGCCACATCTGCGAGGTGGAGAAGGAGATCGCCATCATGAAGGCCCAGCACGAGCAGGTAGGAGGTGATGGGGCTTTTCAGCACTGGCTCTCAAACGTCTGAATGTTTGATATTCCCTGAAAGTGTCAGATCATAACGCTGCCACTGTGCGGGGAACTGGGGCTCTGAATTTCTGCCTTTTATGTGGTGAGTTAAGCTGAGGCTTTCTCCACCCTCCCAGTGTCACATGTGCTATCTCTGCCCTGAGCCAGAGCAGGGAAAGGCCTGTGCCAGGTCTGAGGCAGGAGATAGTTTGTGTCTGCTGGATCAATACGTTTCAATGCTGAAATGCAAGTGCAAGGCAAATGTGTTCCCCTCAGCCACTGAATCTGGCTGTGGCTGGACTGCATTGCAGTGATTTTGTGGTGCTGAGGGATCAGCTCAGTTCATAGGCCACTGCTTTCCCACCAGAGAGGATGCTTTGGTAACATTAATAAAGGGAGGAAATCTGGAAGGAAAACAGGCTGATGATATATATATATATATCTATATATCATATCATATCTGGAAGGAAAACAGGGTGGTGGGTGTTTGTTTGTTTTTTGCACAAGCATTTGTACAGAGGCTATGTTATGTATTAAAATGCTTAAAGAGAGTTGTGTCTGTGCTGTTTGTCAGTATGTGGTTCTTCATTGTCTGCTGTTGTCCTAAACTCTTTACTCATGCTTTTAAAGCCAAGTGAGCTGCCTGGGAGCAGGGATGGCACTGTATGTTTGAGTGGTGGGTCACACCTGCCTGTCAGAAATGCAGGAGAAATTGGGAAATCAACTGCAAGCTGACATTCTTCTTGTGCATTGTGTTTCCCAGTAATTATCAGTAACAAATGAATTAACAGAAGTCTGAAATATCTCTCTTGCTTCATGACTGGGGCTGAATTGCACTGGCACCCTCTGACCAGATTTTCAGAACTTTTCAGGCTTCAAGTTCTTAACTCTAATCAGAGCTGGAGTGTCCAAAAGGGTCAGGTCAGAGAGGCACTGAAGCATGGGTCACTTACAGCTCCTGGAGAAGGGGCAGTTTTTGTTCTCTTGATCCCTGCATCCTGAGCTCTTTGGAAAATGTGCTCTTACCACAGCATCCTCTGAAACAGATCATCAAAACTTTCTGTTTCCTGGTTCTGTCCCCTCTTGAACAGCTTTGCACTACCTGAGGCATGGCTAACTTTTGTGTCTCGGGCTTGTTTCTTGCTCCAGTATGTCACAGAGGCAGAAGGAAACCTGCAGCGAGCACGAGCCTTGGTGGATGGGATGCAGAAGGAGAAGATTGAGCTGCTGAACCAGCTGGAAGAGGAGAAGAGGTAAAGCAGGACTGGGTGGGTGTGAGGGAGGTGAAGTCGTGTGGACAGTGCTGAAGCCTTTGGGTGGTTTTGACTTAAGGATGCAGTGTGAAATAAAAACTGGGTCATAAACAGGCATGTGCACCCTGGGCCATCACAGACCCTCCTGTACAGCCTGGATTTGCTGAACCCTCCCCTCCATTGTGATGGGCTGATCTTGAGGATGTTCTTTGTGAGGAAGGGAAGCCAAACTGGAGTGCAGCCTCACTGCAGAGTGATTCACATGCCAGAGGCTCCCCTCCATGCATTTCTCCTGGTGCATGCATTTCCTCTCTGGATCACAGTGAAGATCTGCGTGTCATTCTTGGAGTCTAGGTGCTCCATGTGTATAATTAAACTCTTCAGTGGGAATAGAGAAACATTTCTGTGTATTAAATAATTGGAAACGGTGTTGATCTCAATTACTGATGCCCCTCCTGAGGATGAAATGTTCTCCCATGCATAAGTTTCCCCATACTCCTGGTAGGCAGCTGACTTTCCCAGCTCCAGGAGGCCCTTTAACCCAAGACAGCTGAGTTTTCCTCTAAATATCAACAGATGCCTCCCTCCTCTAATTAGAGGAGGTTCAGACAAGGAAGCTTGTTTATGAAGTTAGTTATGTACACTCACAGCTATTTTTATCTCTAACAGAATCCTAGTCCTTACATCTGGCTACTAACTAACATCCTCAGCCTTTTTCTTTTTAATCAGTAAAGAGAAAAAGAGGGATGAGTCTAGCAGAAAACTGCATTCTTTTCTACTGTTACTGGCTTCTCTCTTCCAAAAGAGGAGTTTCCTCAGCATGTCTGTGTCAATGTGTGTGGTTTTATTGCATTTATGCATGACTGGCCTGTAAACTCTGTGGGGAAGGCTCTCCTGTCTGCCAGGGTGGCTCACAGTTCCCCACCCTCTGCCAAGGAGGCAGAGGATCCCGTTCCCTTGGGATATTTTGTATGGACCCTGCGCATTTGGCACAGGAATTGCCCAGTGCTTGGAGAACAAGGTTTAAAGAATCCAGTGAAACCTTGCTGTGCTTATTTTCAGGATCATGTGTCAGAACAGTAGTTGTGTGTCTGAGGGGATGTACCTTGCAAAAAGGCCACGTTTGTGTGTGAAAGCTGCTTGTCCTGATCCATGGGGCTTGCTGCTCAGTTTCTGTTGGGCTTCTGTATCCAAAGGTGGTCTGTACCCCTCTCAGACTTTGATTCTGCAGGCCATTATGTGATTTTTTAATATCACATCATGGATGGGTAGTTTTAGAGCACAAAAAGCTTAACAGTAGTTTTTGGGCAGCTTTTCCGTTTGTTGGCAGTGACCTCTCCGTTGATGGCTGCAGTAGCCCATGGAGCTTGGTTAGCAGTGGAAAGGCTGATGTGCAATGCTGCTGAGACACAGGGGGCTGAGCTGAGAGTTCCTGATTGCTCTGTGTGTCCCTTCCCTTCCCAGGAAAGTGGAGGACTTGCAGTTCCGTGTGGAGGAAGAATCCATTACAAAAGGGGACCTGGAGGTAATTCCTTATGATCTTGCCAAAATGTGGGATCCAGAGCTGCGTGTGGGGCCTCACTTGAGTGACTTCTGCCTCCTTTTCCTCCCCTCTGACAACACTTTACTGATGGCTTTGGACTGCTGTGAGCTGTGAGGGTTGTTCTTTGGTGTGGTGCCCAAGGACTGCTCACACCTGGGGCTGCCTGGAGTTCATCTGTCACTGAGTTGCCAAGCCATGTGAAAATCTCTCTCTGAATGTGTTGAACATACATTTTTCCACCCTAGAAATGAATTGACAGTTCAGCTCCTGTCCCTGTGGTGTCCTGCTCTCAGCAGCTAATGGGCACACGGAGTCTCCTGGCTGGATGCTGTTTAATTCCAGCCAAAAAGCTGTGTATGCTGAGGTATCCTCACTGCCTGGAGCGCGGGGCTGGCACGAGGATTGACGCCCTGTCACTGGGAAGGGCTGTTGCTCAGAGATGCTGTTGCAGTGAACATTGTGCAGGCTGGGAGGGATGTTGGGATGAAGTGATGTTGGCCCTTCAGTGGGAGGTTTTTCCATGGGAAAAAGGGAGCAGAAAATCTTTCAGTGGAAGCAAGGCTCTGCTCTCCAAATGTAAATCAAGGGAGTTTTCTGTCTCTTTAGCTGGAGTGCCACGTTAGTAACAGCCAGAAATGTCAAGGGCCCTGCTCCTGTGCTTCACTGTCAGTCATAGCAATAAAAGCCCAGGAAAATGGGGAAACTAGGAAATGGCTATGTTGCTGTGGCTGTGATCCTGCTGGCATAAACCTCTCTTCTTCATCCAGAAGCTGAAGGAGATGTTTGACAGGGTGTAAACGAGCAGTGCACTGATAGCAGACCTTTGTGGGAGCACAGCAAGTGCAGTTTCTGCCTGTTGTGTGGGAGCAAAATCAGATTTCTGTTCATCCCTGAGCTGACAGCTTTCCCACAGTGCTCCAGGGAAGGGTGCTTGGTGCATGCATCATTCCCTTTGAGGGCAGTGAATTGTCCCTTTGTAAGCTCCAAGTGTTTAAGCCTGGCTGTGTAATTATGGCAGTGGGACCAGGGTTGGCCAGATGGAATATTTGGATATTTTTCTTTTTAAAAAGCCACCATGCTTAGCAAGATGATAAGCTGCTATGGATAAGCTCCCATTCTCAGTTTGGGACTCTCAGTCTTGGATTTAATTTTCCTTTGGGCTGGGAAGGAATTGTTTTGCAATGGGGATGTGGCCAAGCTTTCAGCAGGACATTCTGGTCCTGTCCTCACTTCCATGCTTGTCTGTACAAAAGGACAAATAATTCAGGAATGCTTGATTTCCCCTGACCCAGGGAACTGGCACGCTGTCCATGACTCCAGCATCAGTCCCAGCACAGGCACTGGCAGAGGGCTTGGCTGGGGACAGATTTTACATCTTGTCTGCCTGATTTGCATGTTCAGACTGAATGTTTGGCCCACTACAGTTAATTCTCACCTTCCTGCCTTTTTTTTTTTTTTTTTTTTTTTTTGGAGACAGTTAAGCTTTCCAGAAGCAAATAATTAACTGAGAGAAAAAATATGTTGGTGGCCTGAAGGTACAGCGAGATCAAGGTTTTGTACCTCGACAGAGCAGCTGTGGATTTAGCCTTGAAATGCAGTTATGAATTCAGCCCAGTTTTGATCCTGCTTGGCAGCTGATGCTGTAGTGATTTGGGAGATGAAAAACAAATGCAGGAAAAGCTTTCAAGAGCTTTCAAGAGCTTTGAATTAGGATGAGCTAATGTAGGAAAAGCTTTCAGGAGAGATTTTTGTGGTGGAAAACCAAGGTTTACAGGAAGTATTATCCTCATCAAGGAAGTCTCTCATGCTCATCTCCTGGATCCTGCAGCATGCCTTGAATGCCAGTGGGAAGTCAGTTTATAATTTGTGAACAGTAATTTAAGGCTAACAGCTACAAATAAATCTGAAATTCATATCTGGGCTTCCTCAAAGTGCAAGAAAACTTTGGATTTGAGGTTCTGACTCATACTGGCTAGTACTAGCAAACCAATTTACATAAAATAATGCAGGATTGAATGTAAACCTAAGAGTCAAGGACTGTAAAACAGTTAATCTATTTTTTTCCATGATTTCTTGTTTGGTTTTCCCCCTCTATTTTCATATGTTTTCCAGAGTTGGAAAATACCAGGATTAATAGATACTGTGCAAGAATATCAGGTGGGACTGAGACCTTGACTGGGCACTTGTGTTAATCTCAGGAGCCTGGAGAGAATCTCTTTGAGAAGTCCAGAGATGAGTTTTGTAGTAAGTCAGCATCTTCAGGTAGCAAATATCTGATTGCTGCCACCAGTTAATTAATTGGTATCAATGGAATATTTATTCTTTTTAGTAAAATCAGTCCTGGAGCTCTCTCTCGAGATGTGAATCTTTGGGCTTTACAGGGAGCAGAATTTATTTTATTTTATTTCATTAATTAAATGCCTCTTTTTTTTTTATTAGGATGCAATAAGCCAACTTTTACACTTAAGTTATATAATTTGGGGTTTTGATGGTATTTGGGCACTTGAATCCATATATTTTTCTCCCTTCCTTCAGGGGTTAAATAAGGCATATAAAATACAGAGCCATCTGAATATAAATGGCAGTTATGTCACCATCTATGAATACATGTACAATGATATTTTGCAAGCATAAAACATGGATTTTTTTAAAACTTCTGTTTGTATAATTTGTACACAACTTGCCAAGCCTTGCTTAATTGTAGGGAAGGGCAGAAAATCCCTAAAATTGGCTCCAATAGAAAGAGGGGGAAAGCAAATAATTTTATGGAAAATTAAGGGAAAAAAAAAGGGGGGTAAAAATGGTTCTGAGCAGGTTTTTCTTTTGCTTTTTGCTAGATGAATTTTTTAATTCGGTAGGTTAATTAAGTTTAATTCTAAGGACAATGTGGGTTTTGTAAGCAAAAAAAATGAGAAGGCCAGAGTGTGCATGCAACTTCCCATGTCTCCTGTCCTCTTTTATTTATAGGGAATTTTACATGATATTACAGTGGTGGGTGTGGAGTGCTGAGCTTTGCCACCTGGTGCAGCTTTGTGGTACTTCAGCTTTAAAAGTGAAGGGCACTGAAGCAATGCCCAGAGCCAGTGCTCCTGGATTTGGGTAGATAACATGAACTTCTTGTGCTTAGCTGAATCATTTGTCAAAAAAAAAACAAAACCAACCTTGAAAACAAACCACCAACCAACCAACCAAAAATCCCCAAACCAACCAACCAACCAAAAATCCCAAAACCAACCAACCAACCAACCAAAAAACCAACCAACCAACCAACCAAAAAAGTTCTGTTTTCTTGTGCCAGAGTTAGTAGAGTCCTACTGTCCAAAAGTCACTTTGAAATTCATGTCAGGCCTGCTCAAACTCAGAGCACTGACTTACAGAACAGATTGGGGTCTCAATTCCCTGATCTCTTCAGTGCAGTGTGTTTTTTGTTTCACAGCATGCCATGTACAGCATGACCTGGGGGTTTTTCCCCACTTAGTGTAGGATTCATGCTGTCTCCAGAGCAGAAAGAGGACAGGAACTTCCAACTCTTTTCAGTCTACCTTGTGGTTCTTCTTGAGGAAAGATGTGGAGAACCATTGCAACGTCATTGCACTGTCTGTGTGTACAAGGGCCTTGTACTGGTGGGAGCTTTGCTTTTTGGGAACTGTCTTCAGTTGATGCAGGAAGGCACTGGAGCAGGTGTCTCATGCAGAAGGATGTTTTCCCATCACAGATTCACTTTTCTTGTGAAGAGCCACTACGAGTACCATGTAAAATCCCACAGGGACTCTTTTCTGTTTGGTTGGATTTTTCCTCCCTGTCTGGGTTTTTATTCCCTTCCTGTTGTGAATGGCCTTTCCTTGTCTTGTTCTCTGGAGATGATGTTGCAGCCTTCTCTCTCTCTCTCTCTCTCCCCCCCTTCCCCTGCTCCCCTCTCCACTGTTCTTTTTTCTCTCTGTGTGACCAGACTCAGACGCAGTTGGAGCATGCCCGAATTCGGGAGCTCGAGCAGAGCCTGCTGTTTGAGAAGGCACAGGCTGAAAAACTCCTCAGAGAATTAGAGGACACCAGGGTAATGCACCCTCGCTTGCCCTGCCTGCAGACAGCGCTTGCACTGCCCTGGTGCTCATGATGCCTTGCTTTGGGTTTCTTTCTTTTGGTTTTTGTGGGGTGGATTGATTTTGGCTTGAACTTAAGCTTCCTTGATTTTGTTTGGTTTTTTATTTTATTTGCTCTCTTTCCCAGAAATAGTAGTATGATATGATTTCTAGCTTTGCTTCTCTTGTGGGGAACTTGTTTCTCAGACTGAGTTTGCCTCTCTGCCCCACCATCTGACACATGAGCTCCTACAATTCATTCTTCAATTAACATATCCCAGTAATATCCACCCCCTGCACAATTCATTCTGCTTTGAGCCCCCGCCCCTAGGCTGTAAGAGGAGATAACATTGCAGTCAACATTCCAGTGTCCCCTGCCAGGCGTGGGAGCTGCCATCTGAAGTGGAAGGTGCTGGTGGATGCAGGTGGGCCCGCTCTGATCCCTGGCCGTGCCTGCAACAGGACAGATTGCCCAGAGCAATCCTAAAAGCAGCCAGATGTGGAAAGGGCTTTTTCATGCTGGTGTGGTGTGGGAAGCAGCAAACTTGCTGCAGTGAGCAGTAATGGGTTTGAGAGCTATAGAAAACACAAATGGAAGGGTCTCCAAAAGGTCTGGATGGTCTGAAGCCCCCTGTGTCCATCTAAAATAATGACCACCAGCCTCCTGGGCTGATGGCTGCTGGGCAAATGGCAATTGAAATGGAGTGAAATTGATCTCTTGGAGTTTGGCTCAGTTTCCTTCTTTCTTTTGCCTTTTTCTAATGTTTCATCCTCTTCTCCATCTATAGTGGCAGCACCCTGTACTCCCTGTGACTTGCAGGGAGTTTGGCCCTGCTGGGTTACATTCAGATGGCAAAACATGGATCCATAGCCCTTCAGCTCAATGTGTGCCATGGCCAGATTTATTGTCTTGCATCCTCTAGCCTCCTTTGTTATTTTGACTTTGCTAATAAACTCTAACGAGTACTCATATGTAAAAATCCCTTTTCCTTTTTACACCAGGGAAAACAAATTCCATTACAGAAGAGAGGTCTGCAGGCTGAGGATTGCTGAGCAATAAAGGAAACATGATATGCTTAATGCTGGGTTTGATGCTTGTGAAATTCCTGCATGTGCAGTCACATCTCCTCTGTGCATCATCTGGCAAGATGCCTGGTCTGGAAACATAATGCCCTTCCAGGACATTATTTTTCATAAACCACTGTTGCTCCCTAGTGAATTTCCAGGGTTATTTCCAAGGTGTTTTTCTGTGGAAAGCAAGAGGTTTGTATTAGGAAAAATGAATTGCAATTGGCACAGACATAACTGTGAGCTGTCGGTGCTGGTTACCCTGGTGCAGAGCTGTGCTCAGGTTGGAGGGTACCAGGTGCTCTTTACCTCTTCATTTGACCTCTGACTGATGTGCTTTGGATTAATTTCCACTGGAGAACGCTTGCTGGGGGGAAGGCGTGGCGACGAGGGGCGCACTGACCTTGTGTTGTGTCGTGTTGCAGCTGACCACGGTGGCGGAGCAGTCCAGGATCCTGCAGCTGGAGGAGGAGCTGAGCCTGAGGCGCAGCGAGGTGGACGAGCTGCGGCAGTGCCTGCAGAGCTCCCAGCCCGCGGAGAGCCCCGAGCACAGCCTGGGGCTGCACTCCGAGGCTCTGCGGCTGCGGGACCAGCTGCTGTCTGTCAACAAGGAGCACCAGAAGGAGAGCAGCCAGCTGAAGGAGAAGTATGAGAAGACGCTGAAGAAGTACCAGCAGGAGATGGAGAAGCTGAAGTCTGTCAATGAGAAGTACTCGCAGGAGATCGTTGACCTAAAGCATAAAGTTCAGCAAGCCACTAACGAGAACATGGGCCTCATGGACAACTGGAAGTCCAAGTTGGACACGTTGGCTTCTGACCACCAGAAGTCTCTAGAGGACCTGAAAGCCACGCTCAACTCAGGCCCTGACAGCCAGCACAAGGAGATTGTGGAGCTGAAGGCAGTGGTGGAGAGTATAAAGCTGGAGCACCAGCTTGAGCTGGAGAACCTGAAAGCAAAGCACGACATTGAGACAGCTGTCCATATAAAGGAGAAAGAGAGCCTCAAGCTGAAGCTGCAGGAGGCTTTGGATGAAGTGGAAAAAAGCAACAGCAACTGGAAAATGCAACTGGAAACCAAAAGCAGTCAGCACCTTCTGGAGCTCCAAGATGTGAAGGACAAGTGTCGAGATGCTGAGCTGAGGGTGCATGAACTGGAGAAACTTCATGGTGAATACACAGATCAGACACAAGCAATAGCTTTCTTGAAAGAGCAGATATCTTTGGCTGAAAAGAAGATGTTGGACTATGAAACATTACAGAAAACAGAAGCCCACAGCAAACAGGAAATCCAAAGATTGCAGGAAAAAGTGCTTGTCTTAGAGAACAAGCTGCAGTCCATGGAGGCCCTGCATCCTTCTCAGCATGCAAATGTATGACTTTGGGGTCATTTTGCTGTTTATTGTCACTGTTGGTAACTCCTCAGCCACTGCCCTGCGCAGTTTTCTGAGGCCTCAAATATCTGGATGTTTTTTTTTCTTCCACTAACAGTGTTCTTTCTGCACTGCATCTCCAGGCTGAAGGTGTCTAGAAAGCCAAGTACACAATTAGAAAAAAGGAGCAATTAGACAATTATGAAAAAGGAGCAAGTGGGGCCCCCCCTGGGTTTGGAGGCTGCTGTGGCAGCAGACAGGGCTGTCCTGGTTTGTCAGCTCTCATGCTGAGCCAGCAATGTTCTGAGCTGGAAAACCATCATTCCTGGAATGTGCTTCTCCAAGGAGCTGCAGCAGCCTTGGTGTGCTGCAGGGCAAGCCTCTTTAGGGGTGCTAGGAGGACAGGGTGGAAAAAGAGTCAGCCTTGCCCAGCACCTGGAGCAAGAGAGGTGCAGTGACTGGCTGCACTGTGGGATGGAGTGGGGCTGTGCCAGCAGCAGGGCAGGGGCTCCACAGCACATCTGGGAGACAGGGAGATGCTGGTGTAGAGGGTTGCAGTGGAAAAGCTGCCAGCGAGGGTCAGAATGGCACCAGGCTGGGGAAATGAAATGCCTGATTGAATATGAGACCAGGGAGGGCTGAAATAAGAGCAGTAATATGAAGGGGTTAATTTACTGTGGCCTTTGTGTCTAAGTCATCTTTTGTTTTTTGGTTTTAGTTTGAGTCTTTGCCACAGGACGCCTCATGCTGCCATTGTGTGTGGCACAAGGAGTCGTGGCTGGTTCTGCCCTGGAGTGAGCAGGGAGATTGCTGCTCATGGGGGCTGGGCCCCTATTTGTGTTTGGATTTTGCACGAGAAGTGAGGAAAAACCCAATTTACATCCTGTGGGGATGCAGAAAATCAAAATAAGCTGTAAAATGTGCACATTTTAAGAATACTGTGTTGAAATTTCACTGGTGATGTAGTTTCTGTTCCAGACAGAGATGCCAATGAAATGAATTCAATGCCTGTGTTTAATTTCCCAACATGAACAGCCCCACTGAAAGCAGCTGCACCTCCAGGGAGCAAAGTCAAGCCCACGAATTCCATGTTGTCTAAGTCAGAACTCCACACCTTGGAAATAGGATGATAGAGGCAAAGGCCAAGGAGGGATCTCCAGCATCAATAGTGTTTGAAGGGTTGCTCCAGGATGTTCCATCTAGTCAGGACAGTTGGGAACAATAAGTACAGCCAGGACTCTGGGAAAAAGGGGTTGTTACTACAACATGTGACACATTATAGCCAGTATTCAATCAGGAATGAATGGGAAAGAAGAAGCTGGAGGCTTGTCCCAGAGCCCTTTAGATAAATGGAAGGGCTCTGGGGGATATTGATGCTGGATTAGAACCAGGGAAGTCTTGAAGTAATTATTTCAACTATGTGTCAGTTAAAATCAGGATAATATGGGAATAAATGCATGGGTGAAAGCCTTTGAGTATCATGGGGCAAGTTCTATTTAAAATTTTCTTAGTTAATTCAAAGTAACTGCAGTATTCACTGCCCAAGTTATTTTAAACAAGCAAAGGTGTCCTGGGACAGTCTTTCCTAGACCTTCAAGGGAGAGCCACAACTGCTTCCCAGCAGCAGTTAAATAGTTTTTTTTTCCATTCCAAAAGTACAACAGGAATCCTATTTCTCCTCTGGGAGTTCTCCTGCTTCTGTTTGACTTGTCCCACAGTTCAGAGAACTCACCGTGGGGCTCTTGCCTGTGGTGGCCACAGCAGCTGCTGGGTGTGGGCATGTGCTGAGGTGCCAGCAAGGGCTGCTGGATGGGAAGAGGTGTGAAGGGCTCAGCTGTGGCCTCTGCCACAGAGAACTTGGCACTGGAAGCTCTGTAGGTTCTGGCTTTTCACTGCAATATAGAAAAGAGGGTGGGGAAAAAGCAGAATCCCCTGAATGGGCATGGCATTTGCTTGTTATTATTTTTATGAATGCATTAGTTCTCTAATAAATTACTGTCTTATCAATGTTTTTGTAGCTTTGGGCACAGCTAGGCTCTACAGAAGTTGAGGAACTTGTTGGCTGGTGGGTGTCCAGCTGCATGCTGGAGAGCATTTGCAGCTGGGTGATGGCTGGGGTTGCCCAGAGGTGCCTGGTCTGAGGGACAGCAGCTCCTCCACCCCTCTGAGTGTGCAGGGCTGAACCACAACCTGGGGGCAAAACTCGAGCTCTGTTCCCTCCTGGTGAATCCTGCTGGCGTGCTCACCTCTGGGTGACCTCTGGTCAGCCTCAGCAGCACCCAGCTGGACAGGTGGCTCCTGAAAAAAGCCTTTATTTCCCCCTTGGGAAGGATTGACATGGGACAGCTTCTGCTTTGGATGGGGCTTTGTAGTTGTAGCCTATCTTTGGGTAAAGGGTCAGCTTATATCTCACATTTTACATTTATTCCAGATGATTGAGACTAATGATATTTCAGAAGAAAAGATAAAGATGAAGCAGACTATGGAAGGTATGAAACTATTATTTTTACCCTGTTCTAGTGACCTGTACACTTTCTCTTCTTCTAACTTTCTGCTCTTGCAGGGATGGCTGCATGGCAGGGGTTCAGGAAGACATTTCATCTGTCAAAGTTTGCCAAATTACATTTGTTGTCTGGATTTGTTTTTTCCTTCTAATCAAGCTGAGTATATGCAGGATGCAGGGGTGGATGTTTTTACCTGTGTTAGATACTCTCCATGCAGATGGTGCAGGTTGGAGGCAAATCTGGGCAAACAGGTGCATTTCCATCCCATCACTGATTTTTACAGCAGGTAAAATTCAGATATTAAATGTTATTTGCTCACAGGAGAGGAGTGATAATGGTAGATATTAATGTGACTGACTTCAAATAATGGTAGTTACTTTTTATTAAGCTTACTATAAATCAAATCCATCCTTTTAACAAAATGTGAGACTTACACACTCAGGAAACTTGTATAAAGTGTATTTCAACCTGAGCTGCACTCAGCCCCCTCACAGAGGGTGAGCTGCAACACTGAGTCTGAGCAATAGCAGAGCTGGATTCAGAGATATTTTGTCCTATTTCCGTTGCCCTCAGTTCAAGGCAGGCATTGCCCACAAGGCTTGTTTATCTTTGCAGATATGGGGTTCTGTAGAACACATTCAGGTTACACCCCACCCCTGGCAGTGCCCAAGGTTGGACAGGGCTGGGAGCAGCCTGGGACAGTGGAAGGTGTCCCTGCCCAAAGCAGGGGTGTGGAACAAGATGACATTTAAGTTCCTTTCCAAACTATTCTATGTTTCTACACCAAATTGTTTGCTGATTGACAAGTAATTCCTGCCTAGTGCCTTAACTAGATCCAGCAGCCACTCAGTCCATGTGTGCATTGTTTCCACACTGAATAAACCCCAGAAAGATGTTCTGAAAACAGCCAGGTCAGATTTGAGCCACAAAAGCATCTGACTTCAGATCCACAGCTCTGAGCATGGGAATGCATCAGTTCCAGCAAACATGTCTTTGAAACAGTCTCTGCCTTCCACTGTAGGAGGTGACACAAAGAAATGTGCTGAAAGTTCATTTTGGTTTTTTTTAATTCATATTTTATTGCCTTTTTCCCCTCCTCCTTTGAGGTTGCTTTCCTAACCATGTCCTGGTACAACTTCCCAGAGTGATCCCAGCTCCAGGTGTGTGGGATGCTGTGTCTGTGCCACCAGCAGTGTCCCACTGCGGTGCCCACTGCACCCTGACACCTTCCCAGTTTGCACAAAGCATTTTCCAACCCTCTTTTCATTCCCCCACAGACCTCCAGGACAAGCTGAGTAAAAGAGACAAAGAGGTGTCATCCCTGGTCACCCAGACTGAAACTCTAAGGGCCCAAGTAAGTGGTAAGTTTCCCTAATCCAGTGTTGGTGGGAATGAAATGTTTCCCTGCTTGTCCTACAGCCTGGGGTTGAACAAGAGCCCAGAGCTGAAATAGGCTGATGTAAAACATGATGCTGCTGGTAGAAATTAATTCAGGAATTGAACACAAACTGCAGCAGATATTAGTGTCCTGTGAGGGAGGGCTTGGGCTTGTTAATGAGTAAAGCTAATGAACAGAAGTCAGTCAAGCTGGGTGTGTTGTTTTCAAGATCTCCCCTTAACTACAGCCAGTCAAAAGCTAACCAGGTCTGTGCTTTTAGGAGTAGGAATTGGGAAAAGGCAAAAAGTAAGGATGTAAGTAAAGGACTAAGTGACATTTCTTCCCCTGAATCCTCTGCTTCTCACAGCTTTGGAAAATAAATGCAAAACAGCAGAAAAGAAGGCTGATTCGGTGCTCAAAGAAAAGAAGAGGTTGGAAGGAGAACTGGAAGCCTTGACCAAGAAAACACATGATGCCTCAGGGCAGCTGGTCCTGATCAGCCAGGAGCTGCTCAAGAAGGAAAGGTGGGTGTGCAGGTCTGGAGGACAGAGCTGCAGACACAGGGGCTCTGTGGATGTTCCTGTTCCTGAGCTGCAGACACAGGGGCTCTGTGGATGTTCATGTTCCTTCAGGTACAGTAATGACCACCAGAGGAAATGCAGGGTTGCACTGTTGAAATCCAGCCCACAGCTTTCCCGTTCTTTATAGATGCTGATGTGTGAATTTGGTTGGAATTAAAGACTGAATTCTCAAAAGGCACTGCCCTTTCTCTGCTTGCCAGGAGCTGCAAGGCAGCTCAGAGGAGATGCTGAATGAAGTCACCTACAGCCAGCCAAGCTGGCAGTGCCTGTGCCGGTCCCAGTCTCAGAGCTGGCAAAGTGGGACAAGAAAAGAGTGGTGGGAGCTGGGTCAGATTTGCTCACTGGCCTTTCTTTGGATCTGTAGCAAAGGTGGGAGGGAGCACAGCAGGGCTCCAGTGGCGTGTGGGCTCTGGGAATGTCTTCATCTCTTCCTGCTGCTACTTGCATGTGAAAAATGCATATTATGATTGGCTTTTTGCAAATATTAAAATGAATATTATATGTGTTATGTTAGAAAGTTATGCTGTATTAATTCTCTTAAGTAGTGTGTTAAATATAGTTTTAGGTTATAACATAATGTTAAAATAGAAACTATGCTATGTAAGATACTTTTGAACTAGCTCAAGAAAGGGATAAGATAATCAAGAAATTCTTCACACAGAGATAACAGCAACAAGACACTAAAATCCCAAAGAGAAGAATTATATCCTCCTTATGGGGAAGAACTAATCTCCTTGCAGACTCCATGGAGTCTGACCACGATTTACAAGATGAAGGGGGGGGATGTTGACAATAACCAGAAAACACCCTTTGTTTGAAGATAATTTTTGAATCATGTATGAGATGTATGAATATGCAACATGCTGTTGCTTTTAAGGGTTAATAATTCATTAACGAGCCGTGCCTTCAAGAGGAAAGCATCCGAACCTCCATAACTCCTTTAACTCTGATTGCCCAAATCCTTACTGCTCTAGTTACTATTGTTACAACCATTTTGTTACTGCTGAGCTTTTAGCGTTTGGAACCCAGTGTGCGGCGTTTCTGGCCCGCAGGAGCCTGAACGAGCTGCGGGCGCTGCTGCTGGAGGCGAACCGGCACTCGCCGGGGCCCGAGCGCGACCTGAGCCGCGAGGTGCACAAGGCCGAGTGGCGCCTGAAGGAGCAGAAGCTCAAGGATGACATCAAGGGCCTTCGAGAGAAGCTGGTCGTGCTGGTGAGCCCACTGAAACCCATCCTGTGTTGGATGATACCCTTTTCCTGAGCTGGAGGTGGGGGTAACTGAGAGGTGTTTTTAAAAAAAAAAAAAGTTCTGTTTTGGTTTTGTGAGAAGGGTGAGATGATGTAGATGTTATAGTTTATGTTATTACAATTAGAGGTTAACTATTTTTTAATTACGATACACTATAAGTGTTTCTTGGTTTATTAGTTTTTTGTTACATCATGTTGTAGATGTCTTAATTATTTAAAACAATCTTTCATGGGTCCCACTACAATGTTTTGTAGTTTTTATATTTTATAGTATGTTTTATAGTTCTACTTTTCTAAAGCATTTAGTTTTATTTGTAGTTTGTTTTATAAGTTTTTTATTTTGTTTTATTAGTTTTATTTGTAGTATTTATTTCCTACATTTCCCCCTCTCAGACAGAAAAAACTTTTTGATGGTTTTATTTGTTGTGTATAGTGAAGTATATAAGATAACCTTATATACTTTCTGTATAACCTTACATAACCTTCTGTTAACCTTTAAAAGCTTTTTATAAATTTATTTCCTACAATCCTGGGCATGGCTTAGGGGCTGGAGGGCTCTGTACTGCTGAGGGGAGTGGGGGGTCTGAGCCCTTCCCTCTTGCTCCAGGTCTTTGTGTTCTCTTCTGTGCTGCTCAGCATCTGATGGGAATTCTCTTGCCAGTGACTGAGCTGTGGCCTGGCTTAGCAGTTCCTCATTACACAGCAAAGATATCCCCCATATCACAGAATATTCCAAGCTGGAAAGGCCACAGGGATCATCAGGTGCAGCTCCTGGCCCTGCTCAGGACACCCCAACAATCACATCTGCCTGGGAGCATTGTCCAAACTCTCCTGGAGCTCTGGCAGCCTTGGGGCCGTGCCCATTCCCTGGGGAGCCTGGGCAGTGCCCAGCACCCTCTGGGGAAAAACCTTTCCCTGATATCCAACCTGACCCTCCCTGGCACGGCTCCAGCCATTCCCTGGGTGCTCTCCCTGGCCACAGAGAGCAGAGGTCAGGGTGTGCCTCTCTGCTTCCCCTCGTGAGGAAGGTGTAGCCTGCTGTGTCCTTCTCCAGTGTTTTTCTGTTCACTCAGGTTTTAGATCCAGGGGTAAATAGGGCTACAGTTTGTGAGAGAAACCGAAGGTCCTTCAGCTACCCCACGTGTTTTACAGATTCTCTGATCCAAGAATAAGCAATGTCCTCAAATTCCCGTGTACTTCACTGTCCTCCAGTGGCTGAGATGTGAATAATGGATTTGAACTGCTGGGAGCAAACTGGAGCTGCTTCTGGTCACTTGATCCGAGCTGTGCTCTGCCCCCATCTGCTGCTGAAATCGCAGCGTGGTTCTAGGGATTATATGGATTTCTACCTTGACATTCTGCAGCTCTTGGTGTGGGAATCCTTAAAATCAGAGGGTTTTGGGAAAGCTGTAAAAGGCTCAGAGACAGCAGGACTGTGATTGGAGCTAAGCAGTAGCCATAAGATTGGTCAGCAGAAAAATTATGTGAGAAGTAGAAAAGTAAGGACAAATAGAACAATGGTCTGTGTATTAATGCTTGTCTAGAATAACTCCCTAAGCTACAGAAAAGTCTATCTAGAGAGATATGAGGGAGTTCTAAGCTTAATAATGGAGCTCTGTGCATTGTGTTTTAAGGCTTACAAACAGGTATTATATTCAAAATAAGCAAGCGTTGTTTTAACCAAAGGTTTGTGTGCTTATAGTGATTGGATAGAACTGCTGTCAATATGCTTTTGCTTTGTGTGATTGGTTAAAAAACATTTAAAGTGAGTTGTGACATTAAGTTCTTGGTCTGCTGCTAGGGACATGAGCTGCTGGCGTCTTCCCATTGTCATAACCATGGAATGAGGCTGATGCTGGAAAATACAACAGCTGGAGACGTGTTCCCCAGCAGTCCCGTCCTGTCTGTGATTTGTACACAGCCCCTGGCTGGCGATACTCGGCTTTGCTGTAACATCTCCCCTCTTCCCTCTGCTGCTGTAGGACAAGGAGAAGTCGGCGCCGGAGCAGCGGCGGTACTCGCTGATCGACCCCTCCTCGGAGTCAGAGGTGATCCGGCTGCAGCACCGGCTCGTCAGCACCGAGGACGTGCTGCGCAACGCCCTGGAGCACGGCCACCAGATGGAGAAGCTCATGGAAGCCATGAGGCTCTCCTCTGAGAAAACACAGGTACAGCATCAGCAAACAGGGCTGCTTAGCCCTCATCTGTAGCAGTCACATTCTCTGAAAAATCCCTTCGCCCAGGGTTTTCCTCCTGGGAAGCTGAAAGGCAGCGAGAGGCCTCAGAGAAAAGGAAAACAATTCTGGTCTCATTTGCTTCTTCTGTGTTGTGCTCATGTGGAATGTGTTTGGAGATTGTTTACCCACAGGTGATTGTTTCACTGCATTCTGCTGTGAGTTGTTTTCACTCTTTGGCCAACCAGGGCCAAGCTGTGTTGGGGCTCTGGAAAGAGTCACGAGTTCATTATTATCTTTTTAGCATTGAGTAAGTATCCTTTCTGTATTCTTTAGTATAGTATAGTACTCTTTAATATAATATAGTATAATAAATAAGCCTTCTGAGAACATGGAGTCAGACGCATCATTCCTCCCTGCCACGGGGCTCGCTGTGAATTTACAATACTCATCGATCCCCTGGGACCATGCCCTGTGCTCAGGGGGTGATGCCATCAGCTCAGTCCCCTCTTTGCTGGGAGCAGCCTGACAAGGCCTTGTTCTGCCAGTTGTAGCCTAATGGCATAAAATCCCTGCTAGCTGGTCATCACAGATCCCTCTGTGCTCCAGAGAATGGTTGCTAAACATGGGGTTTTGGGGAGCTGCACTGTAACTGTTCTTTATGTGTACAGTATTGTCTGGCTGCACGTGTTCATGGCTCAGAGGTGAGGTTTTCCTGGCATCCCTCTTCTGTGAGAGGTTTATCTGTGTGTCCCTAAGCAGAAACGTTGCAGGTGACTCTGGGAAAATGCTTTCCATTTCTCTTGCCAGCTCTCTCCTCACCTTGGTGTCAGATGTGAGTTTGCTGATGGACTGTGAATGTTCCCACTCCAGTTTCTGTCTTCTCTCCACAACTTCCTCTGATCTCCCTTTGTTTCTTCTGACTAAAGAAAAGCTGCTCTTTTGCCTGTCTAACATCCTTCTTTATGAAACTGAAGGGTACAGATAGCTTGACTCTCAACATTTGGCTTTTCCATCTCATACCTGTGGAGTCTCAGCCCTGACTGATTCCTCCTGCAAAGTGACCTGGTCCTTGTGCCAAGCTTTGTGCTTCATGCCCTTGAATGTTCTTGTAGCTGTATTTTCTCTTGGGTCTGCAATTAGGCAGTGACTTTTGTAGCTCAGATGCACTGTTATTTCTCTTGTACTTGCTCATTTAAACTCTCAGCTGAAAAATGTCTTTCTCTGGCAAGAATGAGTTACAACTGGTGTTCAAGCAGACACCTTAGGCTAGTACAGAAAAGCCACTAGACACAGAATGGGCAGAGAGCTTTTCTCCACTGATGCAGGTGCAGATGTGCTGTGTTAGGTAATCTGGGGGGCTTCAAGCCTTCTCCTCCCACGACAGTCTCTTTTGGATACACCAAACACTGTTTGCATTGCAGTGCTATGGGCATGGAAGTGGTCAGGAGGGTGCAAGGCAAAAACTGCAACCCTAAAGATCTGCTGGCTCACTGGAGATCTGTGTGTTGCACACTAGTCTCTCTATCCTCAGTGCAGCATCTGCCAGCAGCAGGCAGGACTGATGGAGTTGTGATGACATGTTTGGGGCAGTCCAGGATGTGTCATAATCCTGTCAGGAGCTCCAGTGACTTCTGCTGTGTGTCAAATGCAAATGCATCGTGACAGGCTCATCTCCTGGCAGCTGCAGGAGGGGAAGGTTACTCTCTGTTTGCTTTAATACACAGAGAAAGGCAAAGCTTCCCTTTTGCATTCCCATCTCCAGAAGTTGTGCAGGTGGTAATTATTTCTCCCCAGTTCTAGAAAATGACTAATCTTACCTGAAGTCAATTGGAACACACCTCGTGAGGCCAGCTAAGATATCCCTCTATTAGTTTGATATATTCATGCTTAAGAAAATGTAGAGACATGACAGAATAGCGTTATGTCTTCAACTACAATCCAAGGTGCAAAGAAGCAGAGGATTACTGCGAGAAGGCTGGCTTCAAATTTCTGTTGATGTCAGGTTTTTAAAGTGCTATCTACAGGGAGGTCTGGATCAAAGCTTCCTAGTTTCAGTTTGCAATCTGTTCACCCTTCCCCTTGTGAAGGAGAACTGTTAACCAGGGGCTTTCAGGCTGAGGACATTGCTGGTCCAAACAAATCCTGCTGCAATAGTTGGGGAATTGATGGTTCCTCCCCAGAAGCCACATGCCCACTGTAACTCATTCTGCACCACCTTCCAACCTCCTGTCTCCTCTCTGATGGAAGCAGCTGTTGCCCAGGTATCTGCCTTGGCATAAAGAAAATCTTTGCCTTCTTCTTGTGTTGGGAGATGCCTGAGCCACAGCTTTGCAGGAAATAACAAGAATTTGGCACTTAGACGTTTTCTTGAAGGGTTTTAGTGATTCCTCTGGGAGCCTTTTTATTTATTTTCAAGCAAATTGCACCATTTTTTTCATTATTGTGACCATGTTCCGAGACAAACTTCAAGGCTGAGTTTTGATATCAGCTGTCTGGTCAGTGCCCAGGTTGGGTGAGCTGCAGGCAGGTAATTGCCTGTGGTGGGAGGTGCTGAGCCCTGGCAGCAGCACTCTTCTTGCCATCCAGGTAGGCTCCACTGCCTGGCAAACAGCTCAGCCTCTTATCAGAGCTTAGTTTGAATTTCTGCCTGGTTTTTGTGATCAAGTTAAACCTCTGTCCTGTAGGGTTGGTTCTGCACCTTCATGGTCCCAGTGAGGATGGAAACTGGGGCTCTCAGACCCTGCAGTCTTGTCTCCCCATAATGCATCAACAGTTCACCAGCAAATGTGACTCTGATTGCCAAGACCTATTCCATTGGGAATTCCATTCCCATTCCATAGGGAATGCTGGCTTTAGGCTGCAGCTTTCTTCTCTTGCTTGTGCTGGCTGTACTGTCATTGGGAAGCTGAAGGACTCCATACTACTCTGTCAGAGAAACATTATAAATGTTTAAAAGTTCTTGTGCTTTTTAAAGATAGAACAGCCTGTCCTGGTTGCCAGACTTGTCCCTGGAGATGGGAAATGGGGAATGGCAAATGTCCTTTTCAGTGCTGGATGTTCAGCATGCTGTGCTTTGCAGTAACTGCCCTTGGCTGGATTTGGTTTTTGGTATTTAGGAGCTGGGGTGAATAGTGGGTCTGTGTCCCTGAGGAGCCTGGGGGATGTTTGGTAGCGGGAGAGGTGCAGTCTGGCACATGGGGATTGAGCCAGGGTGCAGAGGGCAGGAAGATTCTTGCCAGAAGTGGGGTGGGGTTTTTGCACCCTCCTTTTCCTTGTGTGGAGTGGGCAGCTGAGGAGGGACAGGGCAGTCTTGCCAGATTTCAGTGCTTGTAAGCAAAACCACCAGGATCTGTGTCCCTCTTCAGTAAATGTTGTCTGTCTTCCATTGCAGACTGTTGGAAATTCTGGGTCTGCTAACGGGATTCACCAGCAGGATAAATCCCACAAGCAAGAGGTGAGTTTTGAGCAGAATGTTATTTAAAAAAGTATCTGTTTTGTGTGGTTTCTTGCCTGCTGTGGTGGGGACAGCCCTTGGCTGGGGGTAGTTCTGCCAGCACAGCTTGACTGTGTCATTGCCACAGCAAAAGCAAGAGGCTGTGCACAACTCCAGTTCCCAAGTGTGGTGGGAGCCTCACTAGAAACCCCTTGAAGCCTTGGGCAAGGTGGTGAGGGGCACGCAGAGGTGCAGTGCAAAGGGAGCTTCCCCACACTCTCCTGGCTCAGTGCTGTGTCACACTCCTCTGGCAGCCCCTGCCCAGCCTCAGCTCTCTGCTGTCCCCTCTGCATGGGAGGCATTTGTGGGATGTGCTGTCCTGGCCTCCCACAGCAGACTTCATCCACCCATACTGGGCAGAGCAGTGGGCATTCTACTCCATGCCTCTTCCAAAACAAGCCTCTGTGCTTTCCAAAACAAGCCTCTGTGCTTTTGCCTAACAAGATCTGTTTGGTTTTTTTTTTCTAGGAGAAGCTCTGATAGAGAAGAGGTGGAAAGGACCATTTCATGCCAGTATCAGCTCCTCTGCACAGTCAGGAAAAACAACACCACATCTGGCTTTAGCACCTCCAAAAGACCACACACAGTATTTTCACTTCAAAGCAGGACAATGTTTATAATGTACTAACTGATGTAATCAGGACAATCCCAGAGCCCAGTTTTCCAAGACAGCCATTGTTCCAGGAGGGAGCAGAAAGACCTCTCTGGGTTTGGTTTCTTACTTGTATTGGTTTTGACTGTGGAATTTGTATTGTTTGAGCTGCCCTTGTCCCACCAGCTGACATGGTTTGGATGACAGCTGCCCTGACCTGTGGCTGAAGTGTCAGTGGGTCCCAGCAACCCCACAGGAGCTGCCAAGGGATTTTCCTGTGGTGTTCAAAGCATGTGCCCATAGGCTGCACCCTTCCCACGGGGTCTGTCCCTTCCCTCCCACACACCCTGGTGTCCTGAGAACCTGCACAAGTGAGTGAAACCTGCTGGGCTGATGATGTGAGCTCTGGGGACGTGTTCCCCTCCTCCCTTTTGGAAGACATCACTGTTTTAGAGCAGAGGCTGCACTTAGTTCTTGTATAATAGTGTGTCGTGGGAAATAATCCAGTTTCAGAGGGATATTTATTTTGTTTCTTGTCCCCTGCCATTTGGGGAAGAAGCTGTGGTGGCTCTGACTCTGGGGTCAGGCACACCTTGCCTGGGTGTAGCTGGCCCTTCTTCCTGCAGTGGGATCTCTGAAGGCCTGCTGGAGTCCTGTGCCACAGCCAGCTGTCCAGCTCGGTGCCCCTCACTGCTGGGGGGTTCATGGGCTCTGTTTTGAGCTCAGGACTCCACAGGTGCTGGATCTCAGCACTGCTGGCCTTGGAGCTCTGTGCTGGGGGCAGTCAGTGCGGGACAGATGCATTGAACAAAAGGTTCCCTCCTTGTCTGTTCAGTTTAAGAGCTCACTGTGATTGCCTGGTGCTCTCCAGAGCTGTCCTTGGCTCTTCAGTGTGATGCCCAACCCCTGCTGCTGAGATGGATGAGGTGAAGGTGCTGCTGTGAGCCTGCCTTTGATGGCTTCAGCAATCCTCTGTGCATGGCCTGGGTGTGAGTATTTGGAGCAGAAGCAATCCAAGACCAGAGCCCAGGCAGCTCTTGTGTCTGTACCAGCAGAGGATCTTGTTCCTTCTTCCCAAGGCTTCACTCTAACTTTGCACCACAGCTCCCAAGTGATAATAAGGCAGAGGAAGGTGACAACGTGCTCTTAAAGGTGTGAAGGAGCCCAGCTCAGGTTCACTCTTCAGTAGCACAGGGAACAGTCACAGCAATATTTTTCCAGGCTTCTCCATTTAGTGCCACTTCCTCCTCCTTCTGCTTTGATGGGACATCTGTGAAAGGACAAGATGGGAGAGGAGATCTGAGCCAGACCCCCAGCAGGTGAACACAATGGCACATCAGCTCTGTTACTTTTTGCCCTGATTTCCCACCAAGTTGTGTCACTTTTTCTTAGTGGGTTGCCAGACTCCTGCTTCTTTGAAGGACAGGCAGCCAGAAACAGCCTGGGAAAGACTTGAGCTTCAGGACTGAGATTTTGCCATCAGGAGAATGACATGGAACACTTGACCCTTCTCACCTGACGCAGGATTGGTGATCTCCTGTCCTTTAGAGGAGGATGGGAGAGGAAGGGGAAGTAAAGCAGGTCAGAAATCACAGCAGAAATCTGCTTGTGGTAGCAGGAGGCAGAGTGTGGGATCGAACTGGCTGGAAATAATTCATGTAGGATTCCATCCTGCCTTGTGCAAGTGTTTCTTCAGCTCTTACAAATCACCAGGAAGATTGCCACATCTCTGCCTAGTTCTGGGAGTTTCCCAAGGAATTGTAGGAGTGGCCTCCAAAACCCTCCTGGTTGAGTATTCATTGTCTAAGTGATTTTGGAAAGTCCCAGAGGGAGTTTTTGTTTGTTACAGCCCTCAGTAGTGAATACCTCACTGCTGGTTTTAAGAATTTAGGGCTGTTGTTTCCCAAAATGCTCCTGTTGGCTGGATGGTCTCTGAAGTCATATCTGCAGATCCCATGGGCTTCCCTGGGCACATGCAAGAGGGAGGCCCCATTCTGGTTTGTAACTTATTTTCCTGTATGGGTCTTCTAGTGACTTGTGGCCAGCTGCCTCCACCTGCAGCAGAGATGTCTCTGTTTTCCACCTCCCTCTGGCTCTGTACAAGTGGGATCCCCTGGGAGTGCCCATGGGGATCATGTATTTGGTTCTGTTGATCAGATCCAAAGTTGCCAGGCTGGAAGAGTCTCTGGCTCCTGCCTCTTCCCAGGGACCATCCCTGAGAGCAGCTCAGTCCTGGGGCTTTTCCTGCTCAGCTCAGGAGACAATGCAGAACAGGAACAGAGGTGTTCAGATTAGTGCTAATGGTCTTCTCTGGCTGTAAATGGCTGTGCTGGTCCCTGAGGATCAGCCAGGAGCTGTTGGCACTGCTTGGCTCTCTGTGCAGGCTCTGTGGTCACTGTGTTGCAGGGCTGAGGGTTGAAGCCCCCACCCACTGGGGTGCAGGGCCATGGGAGCTGCTCCCAAATAGGACCATCCACAATGCCACCAGGATATTTGTGTGCTCATGTGGCTTCAGCTCAGCCCTGTGTAAGGGGCCAGGAGGGGTTGCACTCACTCACTTCCTCCCTCTCCAAAATTAGCACAGGCTTCCCCGGGGCACCAGCCTCTGGCTGCCCTCCTGAGGTGGTCAGAGACCACACTAGGGACAAACTTGGAAAGGACAAGGGGGAGATTCCCCATCCCCTCTATTTATTTGTAAGTTTAAGTGCTATTTTTACCTGTGTGGTGGTGTATAAAGTACTTCACAATGCTTGGTCCCTCTGGCTTTGTTCTTTGGGAGAGCTCTGGGGCCCTGGAGTGGTGATGCCCCCTTGTCCTGATGTTGATCCGGGCTGGTTCCTGTTTGTGCCTTCACTCCCCCTTTGGCTTCAGCCTTGCTCTTACCTCGCTCCCCGAGAGCTGCTGAGGGAGGGCTGTGCTTTCCCCAGCCTTTCTCCCAGCCTGACAATGCCATGCTGGTTTTCCATCTGCAGATGGAGCAGGGTGGGGAGCAGGAGATGACACGCAGCTGGGCTCCCGGGGAAGGAGCAGCCCCCACAGCCAGTGGCATTGCCCTGACAGGTAGTGATGCTTTTCTGCTGAGAGCTGAGCCCTTATCCACTGAAAAAACAGCCTCTGGGATGGAGACTACTTAGTATGGAGTGATTTCTTCTCTGTTTCTCAAGACCAAAAGGGAAAAGAATGAGTCTTGCTTGGGAATGTCAGCTTTATCCCTCCTGCAGCATCCAGAGAGCTGGAGCAAGGGCAGCACCGTGCTGGTGCCCTGTGGGATGATGGCACCAATCTGCCTGGTGTTACAGCTCTGCAATGGCAGGTGCCAAGCTGCCAGCCAAGGCCTTACAGCTCCTGCCTCCCCCCAGCCACCAGCAGCTCCTCTGACTCGCAGTAGAGATGCATAAGGGTTTCATTAAACAAAATTATGCAAATGGCACTGTAAAAGTCTTAATGAAAATTCCAATACTCCGTTATTCAGCAGCTTTAGCAGCTCAGCACTATCTGTAGGGAGTTATTAATACACTAAGATCCTATAGGCCTCCTGTAAGTTACCAGAAAAAAGATGATACTAGATGTATAAATGGATGATAACCTTTTACCCATCCAGTATGTATTACAATTTTGTAGCTTAGTCATTTTTTGGCTATCAGATTTTGTTAGTATGATACAAAAAAAAGACAAAAAAAAAGTTTGACTGCCAATGTCTATTTTGTTATTTGATTCATTTTCTTCCTCTGTACAAAAGCTGTACAAATCTGTCTGTGTAACTCCTCCACATCTGTATTCATGTACCATCCCCCTTGTCCTGGCTTGCTGGTGTGGTGAGCTCCTACTAAACAATAAACTCTGTGGCTGAAGTTGGGCATCCTGGGGCTGCTGGGGCGTGTTCAGGCTGTTCTGCAGTGCACAAAGTGTCGTGAGCTGGAAGGGGCTGGGGCCACGGGGCTGTGGCACTGTGCCCCCTGCCCTGGGCCCCAGCTGTGACCTTGAGCCGTCTGTGTTTGGGCTCTGCAAGTGCCTGGGAGGCTGCAGAGCTGTCCTGGGGCTGAGCTGAGCTGGACACAGTGGCATTTGCTCTCGTGCACCCCATGCCAGAGGTGGGGACAGCCAAGCCCAGCACCATCTCCTGGCTGGGCAGCTCCTGCTGTTGAGTATGTCCCAAGCCTCAGAGTGGTTGTGCTATTTACTAATCCATTATTGTTTTCTCTCTAATTGTCTCCCCAGTCCCTCACTGACATACCCACAATGGCCTGAGGTGAGGAGTGTTGCAGGGTGCTGTGCCAGACTCACCTCCCTGCACCTCAGCACTGACCCATGCGTGTTTGAGCAGTGCCACCTTCATTTTGCACAGACTGTGGCTGGGTCACCCTCATTCCTTCCAGGTCACCCAGCACAGCCCTCCAGAGAACTTGGAACTGGGGATGGCAGTGAATCAGTCCAGGAGGAGCTGCCGCCCCCCAGCCCCTGCCTCTCTGGTCCCTTGTTCCCACCATGTCCATGTGGATGCTCTGAGCATCACGGAGTTACCCTGTCACCCATCAGGCAGGACTGGATGGATTTATGCCAGGGCTGGGTGGTTTTTTCGTGGTACAACCTCTCAGTTGGGAATTTCCTTGACTGCCTGTGGCTTGTGCCCTGGCTCAGCACTGCCCATATAGCAAGAGAACATCCATCTCCTCCTGCCATGTTTTCCTGCATCCAGGGGCTGTAGTTCCTTTATAGAAAAGTACTGCCAACTGCTTAAGATATAGAGAAAAACTGAAATTATTTTCCTCTTGCTTTTCCTGGATTTAAAATTCTCCTCTACCAAGATTACCTGAAAGTTTTAAATTCTTTAAATTCTTTTCAAGAGCAGCTGAGGTTTGCAGGTGCTGGTTTTATTCCAGAGCAAAGCCCCAAGAAAATTACAGGTGCCTGATGACAACACCATGGAAACTGTCCACGCAGCCTTATCCCAGACCTGTAACAGAGTCCGTGCAGATATCCCTGATACCCCCTGATTTTATTTTTTCAAGCTGGGTAAGGCACTCTTGTGTCTCCAGCAGCTCCCTGACCCTGTGCAGTGCAGGGTCTCAGGACTGAAAAGGTTAAAAGCACTGTGCCTAGGCATACTTGGGAAAGCACAAGATACCTTGAGCCAATATAGGAGCTACTAAATTTTAGTCACAGGCTAGAGACCCAGAATGAAACTTGGCAAGAAACAGGGAACAGAACTTGCAAAAATTAAAGGCAGAGCTTGCTGATACCAGTGAGAAAATCACTGAAACAGCCAACAGGAGACTGCAGTGCCTAGAGGAGAAAGGTGGAAGGGGCACAGCGATGAAGACATCCAGCCTTCATCAGAAAGGACCATTGAGGAACATCACAATACAACACGAACAGTACACAAAAAAAGGTATGTTTATTTCTGGACTTCAATATTTATAGAATTCTGAAAGTGACCATGGATTGGAGGATGAAATTGCTACCTCTTCAACCACACTGGTTAAACTAACAGTCTATCAATCCTCTCCTCCTTCAGAAAGGAATGTAAAACAATCATTATTTACATGAAAAACGCGTGAGAAACTCCATTACAAAAACTTAAATATTAGAAGGCTTAGAAGAACAGGGCGACAGAGGAAGACGTGGAGCCTTCCTCAGTATGACCACCCGTGCCCCGTGCCTGCCCTCCGCGTGTGCTGAAGATGACAATGGTCCTTCTGAGCAGAGCTCTGGGGTTCCGGGGCTCCGCGCCACGAGGTCACAAAGCTCTGGGTGGGTGCCCAGCGCTCGGTGCCGTGCCAGCGCTGCGGGTTTGCCCTGCTGCCCTGGGCAGCCCCCGAGGCAGAGGTGCCCGTGCCACCCCCGCCGCGGCCGGGCCGGCGCTGCGGGGCCATGTCGGGTGTCCACTACAAGTTCTCCTCCAAGCTCAGCTACGACGTGGTCACGTTCCATGGCCACAGCATCTCCCTGGGTGAGCTCAAGCGCCAGATCATGGCCCGCGAGAGGCTGAAGGTGGCCAACTGCGACCTGCAGATCCTCAAAGCTGAGACCAGCGAAGGTGAGTGGGGCTCAGCCCGGGCCCCGGGGCACCCAGGGGCAGTGGCACAGACCAGCCACGCAGTGCCACAGGCTGTGGGAGCCCTGCTCTGCCCTGGGGACAAAAGCCAGGGTGGGAAAGCACAGTGGTGCATACAAAACTGGCTTTTGCAGCTCTAAAGGGATTCTGTGATGTGCCATCTAATTCCGTGTCCGTATCCATTCTTCCCAACTGACTCATGCTTGTTCTGCATTTGTGCTGTTCTCAGAATACTCTGATGATGCACAGATCCCAAAGAACGTCTCCGTGATCGTGAAGAGGGTCCCAGCTCAAGCTACGTGAGTATCCATGAAGCTCTGGATTCCCTGTGAGGGATGTCAGAGTGTGAACTTCTTTTCTGGATATGTGTTTGCAGAGGCACTTGGACTGCATCTGGTCAGAGCTGCTGTTAATTTCCTTTTTCATGGGGTAGATTTTAATGTATCTGCTTCAAAGCAGACTCCCACTGTTAGGTTTGTGGGGATGTGGGGTTCAAACTCCAACACTGGTAAATCTTGAGGTGATTCTCTTGGTTTTGTTCTTGGGATGATTGGGCTGAGAGCCAAGTTGCAGATCCTGCTTTCTCCACATGAGGAGATTACAGATTTTGTGTGTTTGCTTTTAGTGGCTTTATAGTAATGACAGGTACACTCTGTAACAATTACTTATTATTAGAAATAAACTTTTAATGTGTTCCTATCTGAGAAGAGTCTGGTTGTCAGTATTTGACTATTTCTTGCACTGGAGAAGGTGGGTTTGGGGACTGTGGGGTATCTGGCAAGTATCTTGCACCCAAGATTTGGGGCTTTTGCACCCTGTCTGTAGAAGAGAGACCAAGAATTCTGGACACCTCAGTGTTTTGCTTCTAAACATGGCTTTGGTTTGGGGTTAATGCAAATATGGATGCTCCATGCTGGCCTGTCCCAGCATCCTCCCTTTTGGACAGCCCTCCCCTGGTGTTGTGGTGCTGCCCTGCAGTGAGAGGATGGATGCTGGCAGTGCTCAGGTCCCATCAGCTCCTGTGTGTGAGGGTCAGAGACAATGGCTGTGAGCTGCAGCGATGGCAGTCACCCAGGCAGAGCAGCTTTCTGGCCCTCCAGCTGGGAACACAGCAGAAATATCTGGCTGATGTGTGGGAGGGATGAGGATCTGCTGTCACAGGGCTTGTGTGTCTGATTCCTGAGCACCTGAATCAGACACAGGTCACTGAGTGTGTGGAATCTCAGCAAGTTTGCAAATGTAATAAATAGTTCCCAAAATAGTGTTGCAAATTCAAGATCACCTGAAAGGAAATTCTGGCAATTAAGACTCTTTTTTTTCCCCCCACAGAGCTCCTAAATTGCACCAACCCCTAGGAAAGGCTTCCAGGTGACCTTTCTACCACTATTTGTAGTCACTGTAGCATCTGTAACACACTGGGCACTTTGGCCCTGTTGTGGTTTAAGGATGGCAGAGGTCTGAACACAGGGCTCCCACAGAGAAACACCATCCTGGAGATGGAGCTGCTGGCAGTTCTGGTATTGCTTTGGCAGAGCAGGGATCATTTTTCACTGAAAGAAACCTGCACTCCTGAGCGTTGACAGTGTCACTGTTCTGGCTAAGAAACCTCACTCCTGTGTAACTGGTGACAATAGATATGAGATTTTGGGGGCTTTAGTTGCACTGGAGGTACCAAGAGAGAAGAGTTTATGAAGACAAATAAATTCCCACAGTCACTCAACTATCAGAACATAATGGTTTGAGGTTCAGGTGTTCTTGTTGGTTTTCACTGCTTGATGCTGGGTCCAAGTGCTTCATTTTAAGTTCTGATCACTTCTGTTTCTTCTGCCAGGAACCAAAATGAGCCAGTGAGGGGAACATCCAAGGCAGTACGTAAAATCCCAGCCTCACACTTCTTCCTACACACTGCACTTCATTCTAAACAATGCAGCCTTGTATTAATTTTCTGGACATCGAACTTGAATATGGTTTAATTCTTTTGTGAACAGATTTCTGACTCTTCTGCCCCTCTTTCTCTGGCCCAGCTCATTAAGGTATAGGTATATATAAGGTATATATATTCTTTGTCAAATACTTGAAAAAAATCCTTTGCTTGGTCTTTTTAAATCTTATACTGTGATCTACAGCTGGATAATTGTGGTAATGTGATCAAAACTGTATTTTTAATAACTTAAGGTGTTTATTGTAAGTATAAAATGCATGTATGTTGTGATGCTATCCCAGAAAGAGAAGTTCCCAGGTTGGGAAGAGGAAAGGGGAGCACCTTATCAGCCCCAACATAATGTGGCAGCATTACTCCTTTTCAAGACCCAAAGCAGCAGCACTTCAGCACCTGTTTCCCATTTTGTATCATCAGTTTTGCACTGGAAACTAACAGTTTGTGTTGTACAAATGTGTACAGAAGAATTGAACTGGCTGTAAGTTATGGACATTTCAGGGAGGTTTTCAGCAGCCAAAACAAAGGTTTCTGGAACAAGAACACTTGTGAGGCTTGAATTTTGAATTTCTGGCCATGACAGCTATAGATCTATTCTTTGGTTGCTGCACTTGTTCACAAATTGGGGTCTGGGGACACAATCTCCTTTGTTTGGTTGCAGACAGTGTAAATTATTTTGATATTATTATTACTTTGTAAAAAGTGCCATATTTGAATCTGGGTCTATTCCTAGACATGTTTTGGTGGGGTTTGGTTGTGTTTTGTAAACCATTTGGGTTCAAACATATTGGTGAAGTGTCTGTAGAATTCTCTGTAAATGTTGATGGGAATGATTCCAGAGAGGTGGATCTGGATAT